ACAGGCAAGGTCAGAACCTGGGTGGGCTAGTACGAAGCTCTGGCACAGGCAGGTGATGATGGAACTGTGAAAAATGGTGAAACAGTATCATTTTAAAAACTCTGCTGGCTCTTCATTCTGTGGTGCCAACAAGATGGATATGGAGCATGAAAGAAAGAGGAGCGTCACATTCCAGGTGGGGCGGGGTCATCTTTTTCCTTTTATCAACCGTCTTCAACAGCAGTCCATTGTCTAAAATCTTAGATTGCCATTCAAATGTCTGCAGGCTTTAATGGCAACACGCCCGAGCAAATATGACGTCTTCATCTCTGCTCTGCTTAGGTTAGTGCCCTTTTGATAATGATCATATAGATGGGGTTAATAATCAAATCAATCAAAATATTCTTTTTCAAGGCCCAGTTTATATAAAAGTTCTCTTTATTCTCCAGCCATAATAGTTTCCTTTTCTAAATTACATGGCTGACCTAAATTATTTCCACCTTCCAATATTTTTTCCACTGTTTATAATAATCTACTAATAAGTTATTATTTGGGTTCTTACTATGTGTGATAAACATCGTATACTATGTAAGTTATCACACTTAATACTTCTAATATTCTTGGCAGAGTTATTACTATTTTTCTTTCTTTTTTTTTTTTTTTTGGCAGAACCGGGGATTGAACTCAGGCCCTTGCACTTGCCAGGGAAGCGCTTATTCTACTAAGCCAGCTCCCTGGCCCCAAGGGAAGCTCATTTTATAAATGAGGAAACTGAGGCTTAGGCAGGTGAAATATTTTACCAAAGGCCAAAAGCAAGCGAGAGGCAGGGTCAGGATATAAATTTAGGTGGCCTTCAAAGCCCTTTATCTATTTCACTTTTGACAGTAGATATCAATTCCTTGTTCATTATATAAGATTTTCTATTGTTTATATATTTTTATCTCATTATTTCCCATGAATCTTATTAAATTCTGATACTGACTGTTCTTGATGCATACCTGACCTTCCTTAATAAGAAACTAACCCTTTCAGAGAAGTAAATACAGGAGGGCCTCATGTGGAAAAAGTAGGTACTGCCAGAGAAAGAAAGAGCAACTGCTACTTTTCCTTTGATTCATGCCATATATCTGTCCTTAATTTAATTATTTTATCAAGAATCACTGTCATCTGAACACATATATTCATTTATGAGAAAGCTTTAGTGTAGGAAAAAAATCCCCTAATTTATTTCACACCTTCATCATTAATAAGGAAGCTTTCTAAATGTCTCCCTGAAGGGCACAAATACTTAAATAGAAACAGCCCTGCTTCATACAGATTGATCTAGGCACTGAAGAATTAAAAGAATTAGGAAGGCATATCAATGAATGTACACAAATAAATAATTAAACAAGGGCCTGCAAATTGGCTGAAAATGATAAGACTTAAAGCAAAACATTATTTGGGAATGCTTCTAACAAAATAGATGACATTAAAAATGTCCTACTGGAGAATAATTTTAAGTGAGAGTTGCAAGAATAGAACTCTCCTCGTATCTTTCATCTCGATTCACCAGATTCAGCTTTCTGCCAACACGTTCAGAAGTGAGAAATAATGGATGTAAAACACTGGTATGTTGAGGTGCTTGTTGGTGAAAATTTGCATGTTTTCCATTTCATGGCTGTAATCATATGTGTGTATATACACACATGCATATACACATATGTCACAGGTACACACAGGCACACATTACACAATTTTTTCTTAACCATTTCCGCATGAAGCTACACTTATCATGGCCCTTTATCTTTAAAAGCAGCATTTTCTAAGTATAAGGATGTTCTCTTATACAACCACAATTCAGCTAGAAGTTTCAAACTGAGTCAGTATTTTCATCTAAGCTACCATCTGCAATCCAGTTTCGGCAATTTGCTCCATAATGTCCTTTATAGTATTGATTCCCTTTCGGTACAGGACCCAGGATCCACTCAGATATTGCATTTAGTTTTTATGTCTCTTTTAGTGTGAAATATTTCATCATATTTTTCTTAATGACAGTAGCATTACATATTGACAATAAAACACTTTCATTTAGGGTTTTTTTATTATTATGCATTTGGTACAGGGTCTCACTCTGCAACTCGGACTCGTAGTGATCCCTGCTTTCAGCCTCCCCAGCGCTGTGAATACAGGCATGTACCACCACGCCTGGTCTTGGGGGCTGGCTCAGTGTGTCTCGGGGCAGTCTGGTGTGGGCTACAGTGCCAGGAATTGAGCCCTGGTCCCTGTGTATGCCTAAGCTGGCACTTAGTCCACTGAGCTATCTCTCCGGCCCTCATTTAGGGTTTGTTTTGCAATAAGCAAATTCAAATCAAACATCCTCAGTCAGAACGGCACCTGGATGATGCTGTGTCCTTTTCAGAGTTTCACACTTGGAGTCACAATGACCATCTGATCTTCCTTAGTGATGTCAATTTATAAAGCTATACTTTCAGGGATCATTTCTATAGTGCGATAGCAATTTATAGCACAAAAGTATCTTCTGGTTTTCCTAGAGTATAATTACTGTCTTCCTCCTTGTTATTAAAAAGTGGTTTATAGAATTGCTTTAAAATCATGTAAATATGTAGATATCCTGCTCTTCATTAAAAATTTCCCCTCAACTTAGCATCTAAATTTGTGCCCAATTCGGTCTTTACTAAAGCAGACACAAACTGCTAATTTCCAATCTAGCAGCCTCTCTGCAGTTACCGGTAAGCACTCAACAGTCTACTATAAGCAAAAGAACTGTGTGCTTATTAATTAGCTCATCTGTTTACAAAGCTAAGGGCTCACAAGTTTCTGTTTTCCAATGGTTTATAATTTATTACTGTGGCGTTTAATATTTTGATGCCTAAGTTCTTCCATATTTGGCTAATAAAACCAGAGGTGTCCTCCTGTCATTGTGAGCATATCCTTATTTTCTGGTATAAGAAGTTTCAATCTTATCAGCCCTTTTTCCAAGGAGCCAGGGCTCTTTTCAGTTGGGGTGATATGTGGATGCCTGGGCTAGGTGCTTTTTAGATTTAGATCATCTCTGAACCCCGAGAGTTGTTCTTAGACCATGTTCCTAAAAATTAGCGCTGTTCAGTTATTTAGACCGAGTTCTTCAAGAAACTCATACTCCTTAAGGACATTTTCTGCTTTCTTGGTTGGATTCCTCAAAGTCTTTTCACTTGGACATATTCTTCCTTGAACACTTGACAACTTTATTGTCACTTCTGATGTGACTTTATTTTTTCTTTCTATTCATTTCCTAAATTTTATCAACTCTCATTTCATATTTGCCTGTTCTTTAATTTCCACTTTTTTTCTTTTATAGAATTACTTGAGGTTCTTTTTTAGCTTCAAAAGCATACTGAAGATATTAAATTTCGTTTAGAGTGTTCCACTCTGGTTTTCTTTAGCTTTGTGAGTCTACTGTTTTGGAATAGCTTCACCTGGAGGGAAGATTTAATCCCTATCATTTAATTTTTGCAACTGCCTGGTAACAATGGGGACATAATTTTGTTCTTTTTTTTTTTGTAATTTTGTAAAAAGAGTTCTCAGTTCAAGAGCACCCTCCTTTGCAGTTTCTCCCATGCAACACATGGGTTGGGGTGCTACTTATTGGCATGCCTTCTTTCTCTAAGATCTTAATGTCCCCCTACTGTTCCCTCTTTTCTGGTTTCCTTTTTCTTGTCTCCAAGGCAAACTACCCATTCTCCGTCTCCTTGACAAGCACTGATTCTCCGCAGCTGCCCTCCTGGCTGCACACACCTTCCTGTCCTCGGGGCCGGTGCTCAGAACCACCAATTCCCAGCCGATGTTCAAGATCTCGGCATTCAGTGGTGCACTTTCTCTGCTTGATGCTGATTTTGCTTGCGTTTTATCTTCTTCAATTTTTCTCTGATCTTTTTCAGAGCTTTTTTTTTTTTTTTTTTAAGTGTATTTAGGACAGGGTCTACAGGGTATACAGGGTCTCACTACATGTATTAGACTTGTAGTGATTGTCCTGTTTTCAGCCTCCCACGCACTGGGATTACAGGCGAGTGCCACCACACCCAGCCGGCAGGGCACTCCAGGGATCAAGCCCCTGCCCCTGTGTCTGCCTAAGCAGGCACTTTAATCTGCAGCTATCTGGCCGGCCCTTTTTTCAGAGTATTTTAAGCCTCACCATCTATGCTTTCTGTGCCCCAAGTTTCAATGGCAGGCAAGCAGCATGAGTTTGGTTGGAAACATTTCTTACTCTCTATAATTTTGAAAGTTTCAGTGGTCTGCGTCACACAGTCATGTTTAAGTCATGGGATGGGGATGGGGATGTAGCTCAGGTACACAAGTGCCTGCCTGGCGAGTGCAAGGTCCTGAGTTTGATTCCCAATACCAAGAAAAAATGAAGTGATGGTATGAATCCTGTATGGTACTATTTGTTCTTTTTGCCAATTTTACATTTTCTAGGAGGAATTCAAACAGTGATCATCGTTGCCCTCATATAGTATTCTCTTTTTTCTCTTCTCTTATTTACACTGTATTTGTCACTTGTGCTTCTATTTCATTTGTCTTAACCTGCATCAAATTTTCTCCAGAATATGCAAAACGAGAAGAAAATTTTACTTGTTTTCATTAGCAACTAAATGTCAACCATACTCTGCCTTGGAGATTATATTTTTGCATGGGTTTTATTTTTTACATAAAGGTAAGAATGGCAGGCAAAAGTAGAAAAGTAAAGATGAAGGGGAAGAAAAAAGGAGTAGAAAAGCAGCGACATGGGTCATTTTGGTCCACAGACAGGAAGTTCCAACTGGCACATTTCTTGGAGCAGCAGTGGCAAGGCTTCAGTACTGGGACAGCGTTCCAGTGTCTAAGAGCTGTACTATTTTATACTGTTTTCTTATCTGAGTACACTCTGAAGTATTGTAAGTCATACCTCATGATTATACCTGAGTTGTACATCATGCTCACACTCACACACACACACACACACACACACTCACACACATGGGACACACAACCCTCCCACTTACTTGCTTCACACTCTGCAGTTCTTCCCTCAGTTGTCTTCTCTGTTGCTCTGATTCCTGTAACTTTTCCTACAATTAAAAACCACTGAATTAATGATTTCTTATGAAGGCACAAACAGGCATGGCGTTTAGTCTTCTGTTGCAAAGCTTACGCAGTATTCAACCATCAAATTGGTACAGGGTGAAAATGTAGGCCGCATTTACTCTCCTGGCTTAACTTAAAGCATTTAGTTACCTGCATTACAACTGTAATACAAACATATGTTCTATGACCTTAATGTTGTCAAATCTCCAAATTAAATCCTGATTTCAAAAAAGTTAGGATCAAAATGTGTAAATATTTACTAAATTTTGCACAACATTTAACATTTTCAAACGGCCTTCCAAACAAAAAGCTTTCTTGTTATGAATTAGAAATGAGGCCACTAACAATACAAAAAGACAGTATATGGATTGCTGGTTTTCTCTTTTAATGTTAGCTTATTGCTGAACGATTAATCATAAAATGAAAGCTAAAACCTGTATAACTAAAATAGGAAATAAGAGTATTAAAGTAGATGAATATTATACATGCAAGTAAAATGTTATCCTCTTTGAATTTAAAATGATATGAAGTATATACCCCATAATGTGCAATTTTGTTTAATTTATCTTTTAATGAACACACATGCTTGACCAGATCAGAAATACTGAGTGTCACTGAAAAGCCACTTCACTATAAACTTGAGCAGAGGAATTGGTTTGGACATTAACTTGAGCAGTCAAGATTCATGGCAATATTGCAAAGTTTATGAGGCGCAATCTGCCTTCTGGACTATTTCAGCTCCTTCCTGTCGCAAAGGTGACAGGAAGGTATATGAAGATGAATGGAACACGGTGATCTAATGAACAAGCGGCTGATCAGGAGCCAGGAGACTGCTGGCTCTTGCACGTCTGTGACCGGGAAGTCACCTTCACTCTGAGTGCTCTACATTTTGCATCTGTAGAAGAAAAACACATGCCTATTTTCACTCACCTCTGCAAAGCAAAAGCACTGTGAATGCTGCAGGAAAGCTCTAAGTTACCTACAGCCCACAGAGCATCTAAAGATAATTATTTGCAAAATAAAAATTAGCCACTGATGTGAAATTATCTTGGTTTCGTACTTGTAGCTCAAGTCAGACATGAAGAATAGCAATATCACAGGATAATAAAAAATGACGACAAAGCTTCTGTCTCTACAGTCTGGGAACTTCATTTAACAACGTGTGTTCATATAAGTAGAAAACTTGAAAACACAATATTACCTCAAACAAAATATGTATGCCACACTCTTGTGTATAGCTTTTA